ATTGTGCAGGGGAAAGAGTCACGGCGATAAACGGAAGGAGTCACGGAGTATTATTACTACATAGCGTCGTCGTATCGCCATTACTCGGCAACTCGATAAGGCCCCATAATGAATTAGCTGATGCCGAGTTTATTGTACACGATATGCTGGATTTACCCGCTCATTAAGGGGATTGGCGACAGATTTTCATTGGCATTCCAAGGATCGTAGATTAAATCGGAATCGAATGATTTGAAATTAGAAATTGTGTGTTATTTTGCGAGAAGAATGAAGCGTCGAGGAATTACAATAAATTCTACGCATACATTTTCGTTCGTATTAATGAGAGTGCGGAATTTCCCATCCCTGCTCATGACTGAAACAGCGAATTTTAAATCGAGCGCCAAACTTTCTAAAGATAATCTAAAAATACGTATTGTATATGGCTAACTTATAACGGCTAAGTAACGTTTTTATTTAATATATAGAAAGTTATTGGACTCGTTCGTGGTGTATGGTTTTAAATGGACGATTAGAAAGAAATAAGTCGTCGTCTTTTCAAGAAACTAGACAACATCGTAAAGTCAATGTTTACTCCTCTCCCCGGTCATTCACTAAACGCACTTCTAATATTAAAAAGAACTCTGCGGATGAAGGTCGAGTGTTGGTAATGATGACGGTCACGTTGCCGAAAATTGCCTCTACCCGTTAACACTTGGACTAAGTAGTTCGGCCATTAGATTTCCATTCCTCGTGCATTTTCTTCGAGTTAAGTTCTCATTGTTGTCACGCGTTTGATTCACAAGCTGTTGATGGGTGATCCATCATCTCGCACGCGACACCTGAAAGTACACGAGGTAGCAAAGATTTTTCTATTGGTCGTTATGATCTCTATCACTATGACGTCTAATAAGCAATTTTGCGAATGTGAAAGTAAATAAATGGTTGGACGACAGTGACGAGTTTGATCTCCAATACGAGAAACTCTGGCTGTTATTTATTCGTGGGATTAGCAATGCAGCTTTGGATGCCACATGCGCATCGGGTAATTTACAAAGTTAGCTTAGATAATTATTTTTAATCACTTCTATAAGCATAGATTATGTTAAGCGCGAGAATTTTAATACCAATGCTATGGATCTTTTCACTTTTCCATAATAATAATGTGTAACGATAATAATAAGTCAATCATTCGTTATAGTATCCAAGTTTTATTCTACAAAGTTTCATCAATATCTTTTATATTTCGCTTGCGATGTTATGGAAAAACCGATGTAAAAAATGTGTTTTTGTTTAAAAGTACGACATAAGTATTACATGAGGCCATTAAAGGTAGAAATTTCAGTCAGCATTTGTAGGACGCATAAACAGTATACTTCAAAGCATTCTTATACAAAATTTAATAATGCTAATTAAAGTGCCATTAAACGTTAATGATTAATTAAAAATCAAATAGCAAAGTAATTGCGATATTTTCACATTTTCGGATCCTACTAAATCACATCTCTACCGCGCTCAATCATACGTCAACGTGACATTTTTAATCGAAATTTAGTGCTTACCTTGGAGTGTCCCGCGTATAATATTGGCGTCGAAGCAGCATCAGGAAGGACGTCGGACTCGCTACGCCATCTCGGCTGATTGACATTAGCAGCGAGTTCCTCGTGCTCCATAATACCCCAGAGTGCCGGTGCCGCGGAATCGGGCACACTCGATAGCACCGCCAGATTGTTCACAGCTTGGGGTAAGACCTGATAAGCCTGCTCGATCTCCGCCGAGTCTTCGTGCTTGGCCTTGGGATTTCGATTCCTGAATCTTGCCGAATCCTTGCTGAGAGAGATTTTCTCCAGGAAGTTTGGATTGGGAACAGGCGTGACCACGTACACGCGTTCAGATTCGTTAGATTCCGAACTCGTAATGTTGCGACCCCAAACTTCTTCTGGCTTGTTCGATTTCTTTGGATATGTTGCGCTTATTATGCTGACTTTGGTTATGTTCTCTGCTGCGACAGAGTGCTTGAAAGTGCAAAAGTTATTTTAATCATTTAATATTGCAGGCAAAAATTGAGAAAAAAGTAATTTCATCGCTAAAAGATTCGATAGATCCATAAAGAACTTTAGCTTTCGACCAAGAGGATATCCAAGGGATCAATGAAATCGTCCACAATAAAAATGTAACGATTGGCTATAAATGTGTACTACATATTATATAGATGCATACGAAGGGACATTTTTATAACGTAAAACGATAAATTGGTACAATTGGTAGACAGTTTACGAGATATTTTCAAGCTCTTATAAGTAGTACGACGTTAACTTTTTAGTCAATTAGAATGAATTACCGATGAACTCGATTTTTTCGTAGATCTAGACTCACTAAGAACTTCATGAATTCTTTTTAACACCTAGAGTACTTTAATAATTTTGATTTTATGTGCATACTCAACAGTAGGAGATTATTAATGAAATTATGCATTTTGGTATTACATTGTATGAGAATGTGTCGGAATCGAAATAATATTTTTTAAAATTCTTAGGGCAAATATCAATCGTAATGCTTTACTTCATTTCCATAATAAATGTGTATTTTTATAAAGGTGAAACTGTCGTTTCAAAATTGGAAAAAGACAGTGTCATTCTTAAGAAGTTTTGTTCGTATGTCGGACTATAAATATTTGCAATATTCATGAATACCAAAAAGACATAAAACTATAGAAATATAAATTTATTTAGTCAAACCTTTGATTTGTTCGTCCCTCGTTGAAAATCAGTTTCTTTACTAAAATCGTAATATTCGTTATCTTCCAATTCCGTAATTGGCAGTAAATATTCGTCTGGTATTTGTTTGGACGATATCCAACGTGGATGAGTTGAATTTAGATAATTTATGAACGGCGGAACACGTTTCGCGTATTCCTAAAAATTTTTATCATCGTATCATAATCTAATTTTACATCTTTTATTCATATAATAAATATTAATAATATCTAAATATAATATAATTTTAATAATAGTTACAATAATTTTAACCGCGTGCTTTTGTCATGTATATCGAACATTTTTATTATAAATAATTCTTAACTCCTAATGTTACCGATATTAAACATGAAGTGAAATACCAATTTATAAGTGAAAATTACGTTTACATATGATGTAAAATGCTAATTCTTATATTATAAACGTTCTATTTCACTCATTAATAAAATAATATCCTTATTAATTCTGTTAAAATACAAAGTAGTACTGTTGCATTAATAAATATATAATCAAAATAATGCTATTATTATTATATTGTTATTTTAAGGAAAAAGACCAAGAGACGGATATTTTCATTTATCACGAAGATTGATTATTCTATATGAGCCAACTCATTCTTCGCACGTCTCTCCCGTTCTCGTTAATTTACAATTTATCGCGTCCCACGTACCTGAATCGTCCAATTATCGATATTCTTCTGTAATCTGTGCACGTCTATAGTATGACCAATCTTATTCTCCGTACCGTCTGTTCGATTGTTGCGCAATTTTCGCTCTGGTGGATTTTGCGTTACAGATACCCGCCTCGATTCCTGAATTACAACATTATCCTCAACATTGTTATCGAGTGAAACAATACGACCAGCAGTTTCGCCCGACTGTACCGTCACGGACGAATTATGACTGCTCTGCGCATTATCTTTCTTCTGCTCATCGATCGATCGAGTCGAATGGAATGGACTTGGAGTGTATTGCGACGTATATGGAATAATTATTTGTATAACCTTAAATGTGAAAATTTTTTTATGTATTTTTCAGTTTATCCGTAGGTTCATCATAATAAGCCAAAGTTTTCGAATCCATAAGGAATTATTCAATTTAACAAAAATTAGAAAGCATATGACAAATATACACGAATATATATATATATATATATATATATATATATTATTCTATGAGTTTTAAAAATAATTATTCAAATTATTTACATATGGTTATTTAGTTACGTAATTAATCAAGTTTATTTTATACAATAAAATATGACTTAAAAATTTCAATAATATAATATTTAAAAATTAAATACATTTCGAATGTGTTTTATTTTAATTTTCTCTCTCTCTCTCTCTCTCTCTCTCTCTCTCTCTCTTTTAAATCAATTTAATTAGTTCGTACACAAAAACTTCATAATTAATAAGATTCACTGATCTATAAATAAATTAGCATAGATAACATAGTTTATCTATTGCATTATGATACTTTTTAAAATTTTGTATTTCAGTAAAAAATATTAAAGGATATTCGTTAACATTATTTTACATAAAAATATTTCGTTTAATTGGTATTGTATGTTTCAATATATATATATATATATATTTCAATGATTCGTAATTTATTATATTATTGAACATGTTAAAAGTATCGAAGATTATCTTATATAATCACTAACCTGTTTATTTTTATTTTCATTTCCAAACTTATTGGGAATCGTGACCTCTTTACTCGCACTGAACTCATCCGTATCCTTAATAATTTTGTCCTCCGCCTTCTTAGTGCTCATATCATTTTTCCTCTTGAAAAACTCGTACGACTGCACTACACTTTCGATAAGTGTCTCTTGTTGTTGCTGATTCAGGGGCATCGCTGTCGTTGTACTTGTAGTTGGTGATACGCTCGATGTCACGACAATCCTTTCGCTGTGATGTTGTGGTCGTGAAGACGACCCAGTTTCCTTTTCTGATTCGTTCAAGTCCAACGTTTCTTCTGGACTAGACAAGATATAGTCAATCACAATGGACGTTGGCGTCGAGGATTCACGATTAGCAATAATGTGTTTCCCTTTTAAAGGAGCAATCGTGATTGGATCGGCGCTCGGTTTATCCTTTATATAGTTGCTCCACTCTTTCGATAGACGATGATTCGGTGTTTTTGTAGACGATTCGCCGGCAACACTTAAATCTATTAAGGGTGAGCGTTGGAAGTGCAGGGTTTCGCTATTTTTGACATGTTGCTGCTCCACTTCGGAAGATGTTATTATCGATTGAGGATAATGAGACGAATGATGAGAGAGACGTTGAAGAGTTTCATTGACGAAACTATCATTTAAAATATTCGATCCGTCGCCGTTCACAGGTACTGGATAAGATTCCTCATGACGATTATCATTTGCGTTAATATTTTTTATATTCGTTGGCGGCTCTTTAATTATTCCAACAATTTGCGATGGTTCATGATGCTGTTCAAAAGTCGACGTCGAATGCTGATCGTCGTAGTGTAAAGGTATTTGATTATTTAAATTTTGAGGTGCTTGAGATTCCCAATCCAAATTCGGGGATACCTGGTGCTCTAAACTCGATGATAACTGGATATCAAAATTTTGAGGTAATTGTTCGTTAACATTCACGGGAGAATAATTCGAATTATCGGACAATGGATAATTGAAATTTTGGAAATACGCATTGTCGGTATGTTGAGCAGTTATATGATTGATATTCGGTGCAGGTGGCCAATGATCAATATTTTCCGTAGATTCGTCATTAAAATTTGATGGAGGTTGCTGATAAAAATTCGGAGGGAGATCATCCAAGTTTGCAAAATTGTGATAATTCAAATTTGCAGATGATAAATCGGGCTGTGAATTAGCAAGTGAATGATCAAGATTTTGAGGATGCAAGTGATGCAAATTTTCAGCCTGTGTTTTATAATCATTATTCAATGTAATCGACAACTCTGGATTTGGTGGCAAGTTTTCTTCAGGATGATCATTGAAGGGTTTGGCTTTAAATAATGGCGGTATAATATCCGGATATAGAAAAGGATTTGGAAGTGGATTATTCTGTTGGTAATTTAAGGCTGATCCAGTTGGTTCCGAATATGATAAACCTATTGTTGTAATCTCTTGCTGGGACGATGGAGGCAAGTACATGTTACTGCCAGCATTTGGAGCATACTGTCCTGGATTATAATGCAAACTATCGCGAAAAATCGGCATCCACGGTACCTGATTGCATGGATTACATGGTTTTCCACTGTACCAACCGACTGTATTAGCGTATTTAGTTTGCGAATTATCAGTTAATGGCGGTGATTCGTACTGCTTGATTTCACTCGTATATCTACAACATTGTAAGTATTAATTCCATTGAGCTACTTTTCCAATCATACTAGGCATTTACTTATCGTTCATGTATAATTCACATAAAATAAATTGATATATACATATATTTTAAACTGATATATATATATATATATATATATATATATATATATATATATATATATATATAACACGTTTTTTTTTTCTTTGTTTATTTTCGATCATGTATAATTCACATAAAATAAATTGATATATACATATATTTTAAACTGATATATATATATATATATATATATATATATATATATATATATATATGTATAACACGTAATTTTTTTCTTTGATTATTTTCGAGCAACTGCAAATAATTACAAAAACAACTTAATAATTTATATTATTCGACACTTGTAAATTTGAAAATAATATTTGTATTTATTATGACTTTCCAGACGAAAAATCCTTAAGCCATAAAATGTAAACTGGTTGTGGCAATGTATCGCTGAATTTATTATTTCGACTTAAAATTTAATTGATATTAATGACAGAAATGAAACTGAAAAAATTGTACAAAAAATAAATTAATCCATAATCAAAAGATACAATAATCATAGTAACTATAGCGTGTAAAAGATTTCTCCTCATCTCATAAATTCACCTAAAGAAATGATTAGTAGCTGTTTAGTACAATTGACGCAAGCGTTTGCAGTATCTCGAAAATCTGGATATTAAAATTATTGTATAATACATAAATCTTCTTGTAATGGTTTACGTTTACCTATACTCTGTATACTTTTTTCATTAAAGATGAGAAACTCATTGACTTAATTGACTTTCTCATGAAGTTCTTAAGGAAATGGCTATCAATTAATAATCGTGCAGTCGCTAGCTTTCCCAACCGTATTATCAATTTCTCCGAGTGCTTTCAAAAAGCGAAAGTCACAGCGGCATTTGTACTCACGGCTGATACGGCGCGTATTGGGCGAACTGTTGCTGCTGTAGTGGATTGCCCGATAGTCCTTGCCCCTGAATATCCTTCCCATGAATCGCGTCATGATTACGATGAGCTTTGCCAGCAAATGGATTTAGCCAATTCATCAGCTTGGAGAAGTAGCCGAAATTGTTATTGCCGTCGCCGGTTTGTTCATTCACATAACGGCCGTTGCGCGTGCGCCATTCTTGTGCCGCAGTTATAGGCGCTGACAACGCCGATGCAAGCTCGTTGTGGCTATTGTGTTGGTGCTGATTATGTGGGACGTGAAAATTCGCGGGCGCAGGCGGTGGAAGGAGAAACTCGCTAAGGGCGCGCGCTTGCCGATGCTGTTGGTGCTGGTGCCGATGGTACTGGCGGAACCTCGGAGGTGCAATTGGGCCGTGCCTGGTGGTCTTGGAGCAGGCCCCACTCGCGTAAGCCAGCAGCAGCAGCACCGATAGTATCTGTTAGAGGAAGATCGATCGGCTTCATTAAAGTCCTTGTCTCACAGATTAATTAATTGTAACATATCTGTTTTAATAGTCGTAAACTCGATATCTTCCACATGTCGAATATTTTTTAAGTTACAACTTTAGGGATACATTCACTTGGATTAATCGGTATATTTCTGCATTTTTACTTCCAATCTTTCTTTTATCGATACGCGAGCACATAATAATATCATTATTAAATAGAATTTTCTTAATATTAATGACTATTTTACATTCTTTGTGCATAAAGTTTGTCAAGAATTTATCTAATATAAGCCATTATAGAGTTAATAATATATACATATATATATATATATATATATATATATATATATATATATATATAGACAAACTATGTGTACACATCTTTTATGTGTACACTTCTTTCGAATATAAATATATAAATTTGTATATATAAATGTGTAATAATTATAATATTGATTTCAGCATAAAGCATTGATAAATATTGATTTTAATTAATTAAATAAGTGATAAGTGCTGAATATCATAAAAAACTAGTTGTATTCTATTTCTTTAATATGAATTACGAGTAAGAAAATTTCTAATTCAAATGTACGATAGGCTGGAGAGATTTATTTTTAACAAATGCCTCTTGCAACTATCAAAAGTTATTAATTTAAATATAACACATGTAATTATGCTATTTAAAAGTGTTAGATTTCACAATAATTTACGTGCGAAAATGAAAATACTTTATTTCTACAATGATATACCACTATTTTAATTAAAAAAGAAAAAAAGAAGAAAAAAAGAAAGACGAAAAAAAGAAAAAAAGAAAAAGAAATATTTCCCATTAATCATAAAGAAAAAAAGAAAAAAGAAAAAAGAATGACCAAGGGAAACGTTAACATTCAATATGCTGTCATAAAACTAGGCTTTAAAAAATATATATTCCGTGCGGCCATAAAAATGGAGGAAAAAGAAAACGAAGCGGCACACAGCATCAACGCACAAAAGTCTGGATCTCGCTTTGATTGACTTATTACATCCCAAGTACATCCCCGAGTGTTCGAGCTCTTAACCAACTGTGATTCTATGACACCTGCATTCCAAATCCACTCATCTCATCCCGTTCCTCATCGTAAAAGCGGCAACTAAATAATCTTAGAGTTCAATTAAAAACTCTCGAGTAGCGTCGAGGCATTAGCCGATGGAAAATTCTCTTTTTAAAAAAGAACGTCGCCAAGATACATTAAGTGTTACGGTCTTGTTTGTTAGTCCATGGGACTCTCGCTCGGCTTTTCCATGCTATAAAGCCAGTGCGGTGTCGCGTTGCCGTTCGCATGAGCTACTGCACGCGGACACGAAACAAAAGAAGACGTAGGAAGCAAAGAAAGAGAGACATAGATATAGAGTTGAGCGATTGAGAGAGAGAGAGAGAGAGAGAGAGAGAGAGAGAG